AAACACGTTTAGATTGAATGGTAATTTATAATCAGTCACAAGAACGTCGAATCTGAATCACTTGAAAAAACACGGGGGTGCTTAACTTTTTTCCAGGTGTATAGATAACAGCTTCTAGTGTATTTGTAATCAAAGATAATAAAAATTGTATTATTATAATTATACTCTCACATCTACAGTTAATATATTTTATTTTGCATGTGAAGAAAAAAGAATAATGAGAAAAATTATTTCCAAATCTTAAAAGGTTTTGCTGTAATGGTTAGATGGGCATAACTGGCCATGTGAAAATAAGCCTAATTTATAAATAGAAAATGTCTTTGTTGAAGCTTTCACATTGCTATTTTTTTTTATTTTATATTATTATCTTTGACCTTAGTATATACCAAACTAGATTTGACTCAGTTTGTATTACTCAAGTGTTGTTACATTTTTATTTATTTTTCAGAAAGAGGGAGGAGCTCTCTTAAAAACTGTTCGGACAAAGGTAAGATTTGTTTTATCAACTACATTATAGTTCATATGAGAATGTACATAAACATGGTTTTGTTTACACATAATCTTGGTTTTAAGGGTAGTAAAACATTTAAAACTTGTTGCCAATCTTCAGTATAATTAACTCTTTTTTTCAACACGGACTCAGTCAATTTGACCGACCACTTGACCTTTTTGTATTTGTTTAAAGTCTTTATAGATTTAATACTTCTAACTTTCAATATAATGTGTATATCTTCAAAAAATTTGGTATTATTTCCATATACAAAAAAAATCATATTTTTTAGTGAAGTACTTTTAATAAAATAAAGATTTGTCCATTATTATATGCAGTATTTGTTTTGAATAGTCTGTGTGCAAAGTAGTTTTCATGTTAAAATTAAAAATACTTTTCCTCATCTCAAAAATCTCAAATTTCCTTTGTGCAATCCCTAAAATCTCCTTACTGCATTTCAAATGTTTGTTTTCAGTAAAACTTTATAGTTTATCTGTTATTTTCTCTACCCTAACTCTGTATTGGATTGGTAAGTTTGACTGACATCATAACCACACACAAAAAAATTGAAATAAATCTAAATTACCCTTTTTTTATTTCTAGAATGTCTTCAAATTGTAACATGAAACTACATTTGTTTATCTTAAGTAGCTCTAATTTCATAACAGTATCCATCTATTTACAATTAAATTTTATTATTTAATTGCTCTTTGAACCATGACTAACTGCTGTCCATGCCATTATAAGTTGTAAGTCACTTGGGGAATGTGCAACTCTTGTTACGCTATTGAATTACATTACCCACGAGCTGCTCACATGAGTACCTCATGAACCATTTTAATTATATTAGTATTATTACTTATTTTACCTAATCTAGTCTTACATAACTTAAAAAGATCCGTACTTTTAGGTTTTAGTACTTTTATAACAAGAATAAAGTACTTACCCAATTTTCTT